AGAATGTGAGTGGGTTGGGGCAGAGAGAAAGGGAGACACAGAATCCGAAGCAGGCTTCAGGCTCCGCGCTGTCAGCACAGAACCTGACACAGGGCTCGAACTCACGAGCTGTGACATCATGACCTGAGTCGAAGTCAGATGCTCACCGACTGAGCCACCCAGGTGCCCCTTTGATCTTTTATTTTTAAAAAATTTTCTTAATGTTTCTTTATTCTTGAGAGACAGTGTGAGCAGGGAAGGGACAGAGAGAGAGGGAGACACAGAATCCAAAGCAGGCTCCAGGCTCCAGGTTCCAAGCTGTCAGCACAGAGCCTGATGCAGGGCTTGAACCCACAAACCACGAGATCGTGACCTGAGCCAAAGTCGGACGCTTAACCCGCTACCCAGGTGCCCCTCTTTTTGCTCTTTTAATTAGATACTAGAAAATTTTAAATTACTTGTGTGGCTTGCCTCAGAGTTTTATTGGACAGTCCTGATTTGAAGGTTATATAAGAAAATATCTTCACAACATCAGGTAGAAAAAAATGTCTCCAATGGCACTTAGAAAGCACTAATCATAAAGGGAAAAACTGATATATTTGACCATATTTAAATTTTAAGAAGATACTACAAAGTGTCTTTCAAGTTATCAAAACAACATTATTAAGAGACTAAAAAGGCAAACGGTACAGCGGGAAAAGAATTTGTAGAACATACAACTTCCAAAAGGTTTATATCATTAATACATGATGACCTCCAACAAACTGATAAAGAGAAGACAAACAATCCAAAAGAAAAATAGAATAAGATTTGTAACAGGAACTTCATAAAGATGATGTCCAAATGACCAATAAGCATACCAAAAAAGTTGGCCAATCTCCTTAGTCAATAGAAAGATGCAAATTAAAACCATAATGGGATGGACTCCCAAGTATATGGCCAACAAAATGTTGGCACATGTGCACCAAGAGACATCTATAACAAATGTGCACCCAAGGGGCGCCCGGGTGGCTCAGTTGATTGAGCTTCCAACTTCAGCTCAGGTCATGATCTCGCGGTCTGTGAGTTTGAGCCCCACGTCAGGCTCTGTGCTGACAGCTCAGAGCCTAGAGCCTGCTTCGGATTCTGTGTCTCCTTCTCTCTCTGACCCTCCCCCATTCATGCTCTGTCTCAAAAATAAACAATAAAAAATTTTTTTAATAAATTAAAAAATGTGCACACAGCATTATTTGTAAGAGTCCATATTGAAACAGCCCAATGTCCATCAGGAGTAGAATGAGTAAATTGTGGTATAGTCACAAAACCGAACAGTACACAGCAATGAAATCACAGCTACACACAACAGCATAGATGAATTTCACAAACATAATGTTGAGCAAAAGAAGTCAAACACAAAGGTATGTGTACCATATGATTCCATTTATATAATGTGAAAAACAGGGCAAGTAATCTTTGGTGTTCCACATCAGGATAGTGGTTACCTTTGAGGAGAACAGGGAAGACAGTGTTCAGGGGGTGGGAGGTGGTGTGAGAGAGGCCTCTGGGATGGTGTTAGTGTTCTAGTGTCAGCTTCTGAGATGGTTACACGGATGTACTTTGTGCTGAATCAGTATGAGCTGCCCCTTTCAGAGGAAAGCACTTTGCTGTGTACGTGCAATGTTTCACCATAAAAAGGTTTTGTTTTGATTTTGAAACATGAGTGCTTATCGAGAATCCCTAACTTATAACTGAGTTCTGATGTCGTGGTGTCAGGCAGGAGGTGCAAGGGGCTCCCACAAAGGACCCAGAGGCTCTCTCCTTTTGTCTTCCCTCCCCATTGCCAAATGTAGAGAGGGCATCATATGGTCTTTCTCTTTTATTTGTTAATATGGTGAATTGATATTTCCAAATACTACACCAACCTTACGTCTCTTCGACAAACCCCACTTGGCTATGGTATATTATTCTTTCCATATATTGCTGGATACAATTTTCTAATACTTAGTTAAGGATTTTTACATCTATGCTCATGAGGGTTATTTACCTTTAGTCTTGCTTTTTGTAATAATTTGCCTGGTTTCAGTGTTGATGTAATGCTGACGTCACAATGAGTTAGGAAATGGGATGCCCGGCTGGCATGCAGTTCTTGATCACAGGGTCATGAGTTCGAGCCCCACGT